TGTTATGTAACTTAGCATATTACTTCATACCATTAACTCTAAGCCATTTTTAAAGAATGTTCCAATTTGGTAGAACAATTTTTACAAAAATATCTCAGTAGGAAAGAAGAAAAATAGCTATATAGGTAACATAGACCAGCCACTGCTAAATTATATTGTGTTCATATTTGGAATAAACAAATTACTCAAAAGAAGCTTAGCAAATGTTTTTCATAGAAATATTAACAAGTATTTTGTTCCATAAGTACTTTTCAATAGACAACAAAGTTCCAGTAAAGATGAAATAGGAAATTCTATACAAACTGCTATAATGAAAGTATCTTACATTGCCTTGAAATAAAATTGTTTAGTGATATTTAACAACACAGGAACAAAAAAGATAACAAAATTTGCTGTGGGAAGTTATATAACTGAACTTAAAGAAAGTAGATTGTCCTACAAACTGTTGCCTCGCCTCTGTTTTATACAGTGATCACAGTGCATTCCCTAAAATCAAATCTGATGATGTGTCTTTAATGTTTTAATGGTTTCTCATCACCTCCAGAATCAGTCAAAGCCCCTAAAAGCAGACAAGGCATTTCACAATCTCTTCCTTGTCTTCCCAGGAGTCCAGTTGCATCTCCCATTATGTCTTGGGCTTTTTGCTTCAACAATACCAATTTTTTATTTCTTTGACAGACACGGAGATGTGCCACCAAACCCGCGGCAATGGGTACCACCAACCTTATGAATATTTTATTCTAGTTCTGGGAATTAGGTCTCAGTATAACTCCCAATAAAATTTTTAAAAGCTGTATATTTCTGACACACATTCTATAGTTTTTCTTAGCCAGTGGAAGAAAAAAACAACTCGGGTATAAATTAAGAACAATCATAATACAATAGGTATAGTATAATTTCATCATAGGGAAAACTTTTAATGAAAAAATAAATAAACAACCAGTCAATTTGGTTGAATAAGTCAGTAAATTAAGAAAACTACCTCCTTGATTAATTTTACTTTGTTACCAAAGATTTTATCTGGCTGATAGATGTAGGTAGATTGCATCTATAATTTCAATGGTCATACCAGCTCCTAAAATTTTTATAATAAATAAGGAAAAACTAAAAGAATGAGAATGAGATTGTGTTACTAGATTTCATCTTCAAAATGACCATAGCTTTTTATTCTAGTTTAACCACTTATTAATAATGCATTCATTTTTTTATTCAAGATTTTTTTCCAGTGTAGTCTATGTTTGAGACACTGAGATAAACACAGTAAAACCAGGTTATTGTTGGTCATGAAAGCTGATTGAAGTGGAGACTGTGAACCCAACATAACACTTTAAACGAGCTGAAGTTTAGGGATATGAAAAGTGCTTTCGAGAGGACCATTTCCTAGGCAGAAAAGGAATTTAAATACTTGTGTGACATGTTTATGCCCAGAACCAGTTCAATAAATAACAAAATGCAAGTTTTTTGTTTACAAAGTAGTAATCCTAAGAAGCTGTACTTCAACTTAATAAGGTATATATTTTATGAAACAGTCCCTGAGAGTTCATTTCCCTGCAGTTTACACTTTCATTTAATAATGAAAGTTTCCAATGGGGCTCTCCCATTGCAACGCTGGAACTCAGCCCTACATGAGATGAAATGTGGAATCATATTTTTAAACAAGATATTAGCAAGCGCTTGTTTTGGGTTTCATCAGAAACTCCACCTCTGGCTTCAGTGCTGCATCCTAGACCCCTGCTTGAAGCTGAGTTAGTCCTGACATCATCTTCAACTGAATCATCAGCGTCTCCTTGGCACCCTTCCCGACCCAGCTCCAGCTCATCTCCAGCCAGCTTACCTTAGATCTAGAGAGAACCCAGAATGGGTATGATGGTAGCAGTCTGCTTAACCTACTTGGCAAGTATATAAGGGAAAGCTGTTTGAAGATTTGGTTGCTTTGAATGTGTTTCTTTTAACTGCAGAATTTTATTGCCCTCTTGAGGAATAATCATAACTCATATTAAACAAGAGAATAGTCTAGACTCTCAAAAATAATCCCACCTGTTCTGAGGCATCATTAAGTTATTTTAAAAATCTTATGCCATAAGGGTAGGAAGATTAATTATGAAGACAGGCTAGACTAGTTTTTATCAACTTAAAAATAAAGTTGTAGAACTTATTTAACATGTTCACGTTCTCTTCACCACGTTACCTGAGAACTGAAAACAAAATGAGATCATCTCATCATATACCATAATCGCTTCATTTTATAGATGAGAAAACTGATACCAAAGAGGTGGACTGGCTTTTCTAATGTTTCACCAACCAAGAGCCTGACACACAGTGGACTCCTGACAGTTGTTCATTCTCATCTTGCTCCTAGTTTTCCCATTACACACACTAAGTGCCAGTCTTCTAAGGCAATTCAGTAGCATGAGATTTTCTAGGAATAGAATATTGAATGGTAAGTGCAGGGAGGAACAGCATAAGTGATCTCTGTTATCTTTGCCTGATTAGCAATGCCTTATTTAAAATGCTATTTTTCTTTAACTGGATGTATTTGTTGATCCTGTTAAACCACATTACTATATAACCTCTCATTCTACCCTAATTTTAAATTGTATTTTAGAAGCTACAAATCAGATTTTATTAAATTAGAATTTATTATTTATAATTAGACGTTTGTCCATAGTTTTTTTCAGCTTTAAACTTTTACCAGAATAGATTATTTTTATTTGTGAAAGGCTAAATTTTCCAAGTGCATGTTTTAGCATCAATTATACATATACAGAGGGTGCCCCCCAAAAATGTATACACATTTTAAGGGAGGAAAAATCTGTATTAAAATTATAATAATATATACCAATAACACAAGATGAATACAAGTCACATTTGACTTCTGCAATGACAAGAGGTGCTCAAAGTGGTTCCCAACAGCTTAATTTGAATACAGTTTTTTTCCCTTCTTAAAACGTGTATACATTTTTTTTGGCACTGTGTGTGTGTGTGTGTGTGTGTGTGTGTGTGCGCGTATTTTTAAAGGTTTAAAAAAAATTGTCAAAAAACAAACTTGCTAAGTATAACTTATTTCTCCACTATATTTTTACAGAATATTAAGTTAATTCATGAGCTTTGAGCAAAGAATCTGAAGACCCAGCTTCGTGACTCAGCTCAGGCTTTAATAGCCCTTGAACTTGGAAAAGTCAGCTAGTCTCTAGAAGGATCTCTTTGCAAGACTACTGGAATAATGCTGAGCCTACAGAGTGAAGGAAAAGATTTTTAAAATTTAAAATCTATATCATACTTGAAATGTAATAGATATATTTTTTCTTGATTACACTTAGGTAAAAAAAAAATTCATGAATTTTAAGAAAGCATACTGAAAATTAGCTTAAAAGCTCCCAATTGTTATAAAAAAAATTCGACTCAAGTACTGCCCATCCTATAAACAATCTGGCAGAAGAAGAACCACTGTGGGGCGGTGAGAGTCCTACAGCTCAACGGGAAAAG